CCTTAATTAAGGAATATACCTTAAATTACAGGGGCCTTAATATTATGATTTAAGGTATATTCCTGAATTAAGGGGTATTGGGCTCTCTGGGTACAATGAGGTCTAGGATCGCAGAAGTATACCGCGACTACAGCAGAATGTTTTTTGCTAGTTATCAGTACTCTAGCATACCGGGTTACTATCCAGCTTCCATGTACCCTAAACCCAAAACCAGCAGAAACTAGCGGCCGTCTCTGTCGAGTCTTGTGGTCCTTTCTTTGTCTTCCGATCGTTCTTCGTAATCGTCATTGTGGCTTGTTATTGTGGATGCCTGCAACCTCCAGGTGCTGCGAGTCTGCCGTCGTACGAGCGCGACTGCCACTGTGTGTAGTTCTACTCCTACTCCCAATGCTCCCACTCACACGCCCTCGACCCCGGTTTCCACCCCGTTGCAATTCCCTCGCCTCCACCTTCTCCTACAACGCTTCTTCCTCCTCTTAGTCTGCATCTACACTGCTTCTGCCAATGCCGCAGCTAACATTGCTCTGCTGCTGCTCAACACTGCTTCAGCCCCAAGGGCTCGTGAAGCTTACGTAAGAAGCAAGTCTGGGGGTGTAGAGCACGAACTTCAGGGTTTAGTGTGGCTACTCCTTCGCAGGTTTCGGATTCGCGCGCGTAGCCTGGGCTCAGGGCCGAGGTATGAAGCTTAAACCCTAAAACCCTAAACCCTAAACCCTAAACTCAAGTGCGGCAGAGCGGCTCTTGTTGCAGAAGCTCTTGGTCGTGTCGGTCCTGGAGCATTGTTCCTGCAAGGCGCAGGTCTTGTCACTTTCTGCGCATGGAGTAGACTGGGTCATATAGCATAGTCTCGTACATATATACATACATACCTCATAAAAACAAATATGTATATAGATATATGTATACACATACACACATGTATATGGATACATAACCCCTGCTGCGGCTGCATGCTGCTGTTGGTATTGCTTTGCTTGTAACTCCTATGGCTCCTATGACTTGCAGCACTGTTATTGCTGTCTTGACACACGCTAGGACTTCGTCATCACGTCCAAGATCAGATCGCTACCAGCTTTGCATTGCTACCATTCCTACTGTTGTCTTCATGGCTACTTATCCTAGTAGGCCAGCGTCCACTCTGGCCTCCGGCACTCCGTGAAAGCTGAACAGAATGTGGTCCACATTCTTGCCCTGATTCCCAGGTGGCCGGTCAAGGGCTTAAGTTTGCGAGTCCTGGGTTGAATAATATAGAGGCCTTCGTGGTCAGAATAGTGCTCCCCCAGGCTCCTAACGGTCATGCAAGCAGAGACTCCAGAATCCTTTTCTAGTCAAACCTTCAGGCCCCTAGATTAGGTGGGTTGCTGGTGCTTCGGGTGTGTTTCACATTTTGCGGCGTATGGAGCCCGGGGTTGCGCACTTCTTCAAAGGTTTCGAACACCGCATGGTGTTGGGGTGGAGGGTTTAGGATTCTTTTTGTAACCGGACCTTGTTCCAGGGTTTAGTGTTAAGGTTTCGGGTTCAGGGTTTGGGGTTTAGGGTTAAGGGTTTGGGGCTAGGGGTATGAAGTTTAGGGTTTAGGTTTTAGGATTTGGGGTTAAGGGCTTGGGGTTTAAGGTTTGGGTTAAGGGTTGGGGGTTTTGAGTTTGGGGGTTAGGGTTTAGGTCTTAGGGTACAGGGTTGGGGTTTGAATCCACCAAGAGATAACTTCTTTGTTGCTATCGCGATGCGTGTGACAACTTGCTCATGCAAGTTATTGCTAGGTTTACAAATGTTCTAAGAACTCCACCGTGCACTTTGAAATCCCTAAAACGGTAAAGCCTAAAAACCTACAGCCTTGAACCACAAGCGGGTAGTTGCCAAGACTACAGTCCTTCTGGGGATCCCTACACAACTGAACTATTCATATGGCAGCCCAAAGAGACCCTAGTTTTGACAATCACCCGAGTATCAAATCCACTGGCTGACCCTAAACCCCAACACCTAAACCCTAAACCCCTAAACCCTAAACCCTACCAGGGGGTGTGCAGAGAAGCTTTGGAGTGATGTCGAGTTCGGTGTCCTTGGGCTCCCGGGTTCGTGGTCGGTTGGAGAAGGGTTCTGCTACGGATTCTATAAGGGCCTAGGGCTTTTCGCGAATGGCTTTTTGTGGCTCTCAAAGTCTTATAGGGCTCTCACAAGGGCTTTTGTAAACCCTAAACCCTAAACCCCCCCCCTAAACCCTAAACGCAAGGGATCTGCTGGGTTTGGGTTAAGCGCCTTAGGGTCCGACGAGTAAGGATCGGGGAGGGGGGTGAAAGACGTCTCCTCAGCTCAGTGGCCCTGCGCAGCAGCAGGCTTTTGGGTTCAGGGCTTAAGGTTTAGGGCTTGTAGGGATTAGGGTTTTACCGTTTCTAGGCTTTAGGGTTTAGGGCCTTTGGGGATTCGGGTTTAGGGCTTATAGGCTTTACGGTTTAGGCTTTACAGGGATTAGGGTTTAGGGTTTATAGGGTTTAAGCTTTAGGGCTTATAGGGATTCGGGTTTAGGGCTTATAGGGCTTATAGGCTTTAGGCTTTAGGGTTCCTGAGTCACGGCCGAGGCCGAAGCTGCCAGAGCATTGCCTTCTTGGGCTTAGGGGTTAGGGTTTAGGGTTCAGGGTTTAGGATTAGGGATTTAGGGTTTTAGGGTTTAATGAGAGCAATTAGAGCCCGAACAGACGCCCCGTTCTAGTTAGTACGGCCGCCAAGTTAAATCCTAAATAAAGCCCTCGAAACATGTACAAATCACATCAGACCCTAGAAAACACACACGCAAATTAGAGTAAAGCATGGTTCGAAACGATGAGGCCCCCATACTTCCCTAAACCCTAAACCCTAAACCCCCAGGGCACCCTCTCGCCAATCGACTCCAAAATACGCTTCTTCATGGCCGACACGTACAAGCGGTGACCTGCAATTCCTATAGAGCTCAGCTTCAACACCGCTCTGCATAGGGGGCCTTCAGTCCGTCTACATGGGTCTATAGGGTTTAGGGTTTAGGGGTTCAGGGGTCAGGGCTTAGGGTTTAGGGTTTAGGGGTTTAGGGTTTAGGGGTTTTGGGTTTAGGGTTTAGGGGGGCTACCGTCAGGGTTCTCATAGGCCTATTGAACATTTACACTAGCCTTGGCAGTGAGAATGGGGTTTTGGGGTGTCTCGTCGCCTAATTAGTTCTATCAAGGAGCCCTCGTGCATAGTCTTAAACCCCTAAACCCCTAAACCCCTAAACCCTAAACACCCCTAACCCCTAAACCCCTAACCCCTAAACCCCTAAACCCTAAACCCTTTAAGGGTTCACCAGGTGCTCTTCGTAAGGGGCTCCATGGTTCGATAACACGGCTGAGCCCCCTTCGGATTTCGGCCTTGGGCCTTGGGGGTGTTCACGGGGTTCTCGGGTCTTTTTGGACAAAGGGCTTCATAGGGCTTAGGGGTTTCGGGGTTTGGGGTTTAGGGTTTAGGGGTTTAGGGTTTAGGAGTTGGGTTTGGGTCAGATGCCAGTAACCTGAAAAAAGGACATAAGAGACGAAAGATTCAGACCCCTTCGTTACGGAGGTAAGATGTTCCAACGGTTCGGGGTGCGGGTGCTTCTGGGCTAAGGCTTCAAGTTTAGGGTTTAGGGGTTTAGGGTTTGGGGGTTTAGGGTTTAGGGTTTTGGGTTTTAGGGTTTACGGTTTTGGGGTGTTGGGTTTAGAGCTTTAGGGGTTTAGGGTTTTGGGTTTAGGGTTTTGGGTGGTTCTTTTGTGTGCTGACGATGGATAGTTGGTTGGAAGTGGGCGTTAGTTATGCTAGTAGCTCAGGCAATGTCGGGGCCCTGGTAAGCAGAACAGGGTCCCAGGGGAGATCATAGAAGAACTCGACGGGGACGATCAGGGATACGGCTGATGATATAAACCCTGCATTGCTGCATTACCCATGATAAGGAATATACCATAATTCCCTTAGTTTAGGGTCCTTAAGGTAATGCAGGATTTATCTCATCAACCGTATGATAACTCACGACTCCTAAATTTCAAAAATATTCAAGCCTCTACAGGGAGACCTTAGACCATAAACCCCATAAGCCGCAAGACTTAGCTGGAGAACCGTGATTATGATGCTTGCTGCAATTCACTCGCTTTACCGACCCCATACCAGAAGATGGATCACTGAGACTTCGGCCATAAAAAGGAGGAAGAACAGAGAGGAATGGCGTGCAGTACCTCCGCAGATCACTCGGAATAGAATCTGTCTGCAGCCACTTGGGGGAGTATGGGGCTGGCTCTGGGTATCAAGGGGCTTCTACCACCTGTGCCACCACAGATCACCATACCCGTGCTTGGTTTTGTCAGAATAGCTATATTGTTTTCACACATGTACATATATATATATACACATATATATATATAGTTTATTTTTATACCTTATTCATCGATTTATTTGTATATTTATTCACGTATTTATTTGTTTAGATATATATATATATATAAGTTCTTATCAGTGGTTATTTGATACACTATCGCAGAACAACAGCTGACCTACCGAAAGGCGGGGCACAGCTCCGCAGCCGTGCGGTAGGCACCCGCCAGGCAACTCCCCGTTGTGCCAGAGGCGTAGTGCGGGAACATGGGAATCAGAACTTAGCGAGCAGTGCACGACAGAGGCACGGAAAGCACAACTCCAATGGTCGGGCCTTAATCAATAGAATTGGGTTTTGGGTTCCTTTATTTTTTGCAATTATAACAAGGAACCCCGAGGAATAATATTGGCGATCATTTGGGCTTCTATAGTAAATCCTGCACAACTCGGACGATGCAAAGCGTTGGAGCTCCAGGGGCTTCTTTGTGCCTCCCGCAGAACGGACCCTGCTTCGGCGGGACAAGCTTGGGCGACTGTCTTTCAACACGGATTGCGCTGACCCCCATCACAATCATGCCCACCTAAGTGACCTGCACCCGACGCCAAACCATGGTGAGAGCCATGGGGGGAGGAAGGAGTGCCGGCAGACAAGTTCAGCATCGTTCGAAGATCTTGTAGAGCTGATCCAGAGAGGCCAACTCCAGGAAGGTACCATCTGTCGCCAGCTCCCGGGGCCATTGGCACTCCCCATCCCGGCGCAAGGCTTCATGCAGCCAGCGGAGGCCCTGCAGCTCCTCTGTGGTGCGTTGCCTCTTCGCCGCAGAAGCTGCGACGATGTCGTCAAACTCACCGGACTGGACGGCGGCATTCAGCTCCTCCACGGCGGCCCGGCCCCGCTGGTAGATGTCAGCTTCAGCTTCGCTGGGCAGCAGCAGCTCCGCGCTGAAATCGGCGATCACCTGACAGATGCCTTCAAGGCAAGGCTTCTCTTCCTCCCAGTCCACTTCGGCACAGAGCCGGACAAGAAAGAGGGGCAGCGTCTCAAAGTTGCATCCCATGTCGGATTTCAGACCCAGGCCATTCGGCAGCGTCTTCAGGCGTTTGCCCGAAACCTCGATCTCCTGAGTTCGTGTTCGGGGATTTAATTTAAGTTAAGTTACCATAATAAAGAAACCAGATTATTTACTCTAGATGTCTATTATGGTACCTTAAATCCAATCCCTTAACAAGAACCCAGGCTCCAGCATGAAATATGCGTTGAGCAGCTCGGCCTTCTCAAGAAGCAAGGTGACGAAGCGGGTTGCCATGGCCTCGATGTCGACGGATGCATGGAGTTGGGGATCATAGCCCGAGTCTGGGTCCTGTCAAAGGGTTTAGGGTTTAGGGTAAAAGGAGGGACCCGTAATAAGGACCCCTAGGTATATAATCTTTAGTTACCCATTATATAGCCCACTAAAGAGTAGGGATCCCGATTAAGGGTCCCTCCTTTTGCCCTTTGATCCTGAATACCCAACTTCAGGAGCTCAGCTAGAGGCAGGGGCTCCGCCAGAGTGATGCAACCCACGCCGCCAATTAGCCTGCGGGTGACATGCAAAACTGCACATATGCAGCCAATATGAAGGAGCATGCAGACCTAAACCCTAAACCCAAAACCCTAAACCCTAAACACTAAACCCTAAACCCCAAACCCTAACAATGCCTGCATGTTGACGAGGACTCTTCGCTGCGTAGTACACTTGCATATGATGATCTTCGCAAAGCTTTCCGCCAACCAACCCCCTAACTTAGAGAACTACCCTTATGATGCCCTTAAACAAATCCCCTATAGATCCCTTGAAGGAACCCTCACAGATCCCTTGAAGGAAGCCTTATAGAAACCCCTGTCGAATCCCTGATAGAAGCCCTTATAGGAACCCTTATAGTATAGTAAACCCAATCGAACCCTGAAAGTTCTCAACCCCCAAATCCCCCCAAACCCGCCTGAGTACTCGCTGGTAGGCACACTCCCGCGCAAGGATCGCTATGTTCACCTGGGTTCCAGTTTTGGGGCCCTGAAAGGTATTTATGACGAAAGCGTCACCCTCAGGGCCCGATGTTGTGGGCTTCGTAAAACAGACTCTACTTAAAAATAGATACCTGAAATGGAACCATAACGAAAGTTTAAAAGTTTTCGAAAGTGATATCAAGTCACCATGCAGAGAGACTTCTCGCACTGGAGAAGCACGAGCTCCCGTGTCACGGGTCCAACATACCTGGGTTGGCCCTGCAAAACCCTGGAACCATGTTCGTAAAATAAGATCCTCTTAGGGCCCCAATAAGGGTTTGGGGTTTAGGGGTTTAGGGGTTTAGGGGTTTAGGGGTTTGGGGTTTAGGGTTTAGGGGTTTAGGGAAAATACAAAATGTCCCAAAGGACTAGCTAGATACACAGATTTGTTCACCAACTCAGAAAGCTCGGCGTCGCCAGCCACGGCCGCGGAGATGCGCAGCTCTTCAATGGATGTCAGCTGCTGAGCCTCCGCAAAGGCTGCGCGGCGCTCTTCGGACATCTGCCCAGACATCTGCCCACTTTGGACCAGCGGTTGGCTCGGAGCACTGCTTGGAGCTGAGGCATCGACCACTACTTGCGATGCCTGTGCTGTCTGAGACGCCTGCGTTGCCTGAGCCGCCTGGGAGTGGGATTCCAGGAACATGGACTGCAAGGACATCTGCCGGTGGTCCGTCCGAACCCGAGTGGGGTTCAGCACCGCAGGCCCCGTCTTGTCCAGGCCAGCGCTGGCCCTGGTCGCCGCAGGTGGGGCGAGGTGTAAAAGCTGCAGAGGCTGTGGAACCTTCTGCTTCTCCTGGGTTCGTGCTACGGAACTTTTGTTTAAGGGTACTGTAAAAGGGGTCTATAACAAATCAAGGGGATCCAAAGCAAACCATAGGGGTTTCTTCTGTATTCTGGTAACTGAAAAACAAGCTCCCTAACAAGAGCCCAGCCTCCTTCTCTGCGATTGGAGCTCCTTTGCCTGGCGATGGCAGGGCAGACACGAAAGTCTCCAAAACCCTAAACCCTAAACCCCTAAACCCTAAACCCCCAAACCCTAAAGCCCTAACCCCTAATCCCCTAAACCCTGAACTCCTCTGCCTGGCGATGGCAGGGCAGACACGAAGGTCCTGGAGCCTCCCATGGTCTGCAGCTGCGCGAGCAGCGTCTCTTGCAGCTTCTGCGCAATCGTCTCCTCATGAAGGAACTGCACCTCCATCTTCCTCGGTTTTTTTTAAATGTAATGGAACGGACTTTACGACCATCCAGCATCTTCCTGGGTTTAGGCTTTGGGGTTTTTGGTCTAGGGTTTAGTCCTAGGTTGGCCTTAAAGCCTCTTTAAAAGTGTTCAGCAAGATCGTCTAAAGCCCATGTTGGGAAATAGAAAAGAATCCCAAAGCCCCACCCAGCTTCGTCGGATGGACGTTCACGTCGATGGCCGCCGGGTTCACTTCGAGGGCCAGGTAGACCCAGGGGTGCTGATGTCGGGGCAGCACACTCTGGTAGACGGCCTCCAGGGCTCTTTTCAGGGGCCCGGAGTCCACCAGCCTGTTGTTGATGAAAAGGATGAAGGTCAGAGATCGAGACATGTAGTTCGGGCTCGATGCAAAGCCGGTGCAAGAGAACTTGGGCTCTTCGGAGGCCAGAGAATAAGGGAAGAGCTCCTTCGCCAGGTTCTGGCCATAAATGGTGGAGATCACGCCTTGGGCCGTGACATCCTCACCTCCTACAGTCGTCAGCTCGGAGACCGAACTCGTGTTCTTCCGACAACTAAACCCGACTTTGGGGTAGTGGATCGCGTAGCGCTGCACAACCTCCAGCACCTTCGCATGTTCGATGCTCTCCTTGCTGAGGGCCTGTCTCCGAGTTGGGTTGTTGTAGAACATGTCCTCAACAACAATGGTCGTTCCTCGAGTTCCTGCACATGGCCTCGCTGGGCCTTGCATCTTGCTCTCACTGTACTGAGCCACTCGTGCACAGTCGTCGCCGCTAGTCATGGTGGTGACGGTCACGTGGGCCACATGACTGATTGAAGCCAATGCTTCGCCCCGGAAGCCGAAGGTGCCGATGCTACTGAGGTCCTCGTACTTCCGCAGCTTAGAGGTGGTAAAGCGCTCACAGAGGATCGGCAGGTCATCCGCCCGGATCCCATGACCGTCATCTTCGATGCGCAGCATCTTCAGGCCACCAGACTTCGCCACGATGGCGACTCGAGTGCTACCTTTAAGGGACAATAGGAGGGACCCCTAGAAGGAACCCCTAATCCTAATACCCTAGTATAACCCTTATATACCCCGTATATAGTCTCATAAAGCCCCTATATTACCCCAAGGGTCCCTTTAAAGGTCCCTTGATACCTGCGTCAAGCGAGTTTTCCATCAACTCCTTCAAGGCATTCGCCGGCCGGACGACGACTTCACCCGCCGCGATGCGGTTGATGACCGCCTCCTCGAGGAGCAAGAGTATGTCTGCACGTGTGTGTGTGTGTACATCAACCAGCACCATATAAACCCTAAACCCTAAACCCCTAAACCCTAAGCCCTAAGCCCTAAACCCATGCCAGTCGGAAATTCCTTCTCCCCAGCACCCGAAAAACCTAGACTTGGACCCCGCTAACCCCAAACCTGCCGGAGGCCCTGAAGCCCTGAACCCTCAGCCCAAAAGATCTCGAAGTCAGCCCAAAACTCCCTAAGGGTTTAGGGGTTACGGCTTGCAGGGTTTAGGGCTTTAGGGGCTTTAGGGTTTAGGGCTTAGGGTTTAGGGTTTAGGGGTTTAGGGGTTTAGGGTTTAGGGGTTTAGGGGCTTAGGGGTTTAGGGCTTCAGGGTTGAGGGGTTTAGGGGTTGAGGGTCCTCAAGCTGCACGATCCGTGGCTGGTCTGCGGAGGCCTCGGATGGCCCTTCCATGGCTCCGCGGCCCCGATGCGCGCTGCCAGGACACTCGGAAGTGCAGGCCGATAACCAGAAAAGCGCACACCCTAAAGCCTAAACCCTAAAGCCCTAAAGCCTAAACCCTAAAGCCCTAAACCCTGGAGAACTTGCAGGTAGAGATTCTCTGACAAGACTGCGAGGAGGCACAGAGGGTCTGGAGTTTCAGGGCTGAGGGCACTTAGGGGTTTAGGGCTTTCTGTTTTGGGTTTAGGGTTTAGGGTTTAGGGTTTAGAGTTTGGGGTTTAGGGTTTAGGGTTTAGGGATTGATGCTTTGGAGTTTGTTCTTCTACTCGCTTGCTTTGCTCGAATAACCACTTTTAACTCTGACTTCAATTTCAGTCCTTCCAGCTGTGAAGAAGGCACAAGCAGCACATCGGTGGGAGGGCTTCCACTTCCGGACCGCATCGCAGAAACTCGTTGACCCATGGGTCAACTAGGGGCTTCACGGCTTAGGGTCTAAAGCATGAGCAAGACATGCGAAAGGAGTGCGACACGACGCGCACAACATGAACGTCAAGGGCGTTTCACAGAGGCTCTCGAAGGACAAGGGCCCGGCCAACGCTATCCACACCGGACTCCGCTAGGTCTTTCAGGGACTCGTCCACAGTGGGGCTCGAGTACTGCAGACAGCAACCAGGTGCTTCGTGTTTTACCCTAAACCCTAAACCCTAAACCTTCAGAGGTTCAGGCCTTGAGGGTTCAGTTAGAGGGCGTTGGGTTTGGCGTCTACTGCGGTTTGGGGTCTTTCGGCGCAATTTATTGCACTTTGGGGCATCCGGAGACCGACCCTAATTGGTTCCAAGAACCTTGCCTTGCAACAGACCCTCTTACCCTGCCTAAAGCCTGCACCCCTACATGTAGCCTAAACCCGTATCACACGATCTTGTGCAAGCTGAACTGGGTGATGTAGGAGCCCGGATAGTTACCAATACTATTCCTTTGGGTTCCTTCAACTAAAATGTACCCCCAATAAGCTTGTTCTAGCGACGAAGGCCCCAATATTACGGTCGAGGTCACCCTAAACCCTAAACCTTGAATAAGTTCGAGTCGTTGAGAGGAGCATCTGCCGTCAGGGCTTAGCGTTCGAACCATTCAAGCTCTTAGGGTTTGGGCTATTTGGGCTTAAGGTTTAGGGTTAAGGGTCTAGCCCCGAAGAGCCAGTCAGTCTTTAAAGAGCATGAGGGATCTATTCGTGAGTACGTGGGGGACGTCCTCGTACGGCGAGCGGCTTTGGTTTTAGCTCGCCTCTAGCGCCTGTCTCGGACAGGGCTTGCGCCAGGAATTTAGCCGCTGAACTGTAGGTTTCTGGAGCCTAAACCCTAAACCCTATTAATTGGGGTTTATGGCGTAGTGTTTGCCCAAACCCTAAACCCTGAACCCCAAACCCTACACCCCTGGAAAACCTTCCACGCCTGTATAAAACCCTGATAAAACCTTCTAAACTCTTTGAAACCCTAACAAACGATTATAAAAACCGCTGTATCAGAAGGGCCTAAACCCGGCCTGCATCCCGATTCGGACTTCAAATCGGTCGCCCATCTCCTGTTTTATGTGAGGTTTGGAGCTTTCGAAGGTAGGGTTTTGGGTCCAGGGCTACTTAAAAGTAGGGTTTAGGGTTTAGGATTAGGGTTTAGGGCTTAGGATGTCTTACAAGGCAGGGTTGCCACAAAAGTCACTGTTATTCTAAGACTTTCTGTAAGGGTTCAAAGGGATCTGGGCCCTGGAGCTTCGAGCTTAGGCTTAATGTAGGCGGTTTGGGGTTTAGGGTTTAGGGTTTATGGTATTAGGAATCATTTAGGCCCCCTATGTTAAATTCTACGATTCGGGCTCATGACTCTAAGGGCTTGATTGGCTTGGGGATTAAGGCTCAAGGCCTCGCGATCAGGGTTCTGGCCTCACAGAATCCGATGCCGAGCCTTCTGAAGCTGAAAGAAGACCTAAGTGCCTAAACCCTAAACCCGAAATCCTAAACCCCAACCCCGGTTTAGGGTTTAGGGTTTAGGGTAAACTAAACTCGAAATCTTAAACCCGAAACCCCCGAGGCGCATAAGCTGGTATTCGGGCCTGGGTTCGCTGGACACCCCCGAAGCGAAAGGGAAGGCCGGAACATCAAGCCCTTCTTTGCTACATCCTCTCACATGAACACTCAACCGGGAAACCCTGAATCCGTAACTTTTCCCCTAAACCCTAAACCCCAAACCCTAACCCTAAACCTCAAACCCTAAACCCAAAACCCTAAACGCCCAAAACCCTAAACCCTAAACCGTAAACCCCAAATCCCAAACCCTGAACCCTAAAGGCCCTCACCGCAAGGCCCTCACAAACTCCCGAATCCGAACGCTAAAACGGGTAGTTCTCTAAATCCGGGTCCCCTTTCAGGTCCCCAATATGGGTACGAGGACTCTAAAAGGGACCCTAATAAAGAAAACTACCCTAAACCCTAAACCCCTAAGCCAGGACCCTAAAGGGCCCCCTAAATTAGAGAACTACCCAAATACTGAACTCGAGTTCCCAGAGACTTAACCCAGAGGCCCACGGCCTAAACCCTAAACCCTCAAGCACTACACCGAACTGCTCTGGTTTAGGTTTAGGGTTTAGGGTTTAGGGTTTTGGATTTGGGGTTTAGGGTTTAGGGTCCAGGGTTTAGGGTTTGGGGTTTAGGGCTGGAGGGACCCGATCTCCTCCTGCAAGCCTTTGGCTAAATCCAAGGAGTGGAACAGCAGCGGTGATCCTCTCACAGGATCCTGGCAGATGCACACAAAATGCTGGTTTAGGGTTTAGGGTTTAGGAGACGATGCGCATTATTATACCGCGGGGTTCCTATTATGCTTATGCTATGAATGCACCCCGAGACCCCATTCTAATTATCAGATGCATTCATGGAGACTATTGTTCCAGGGTTGGGTGATTGTTGTCTGGGTTGCTGAGGCTGCCTGATTTCCTGTGCACTAACATCGGATGCCAGCATTTCCATGGTGCTGAAACATGAACGAACCATACCAACAAATGTCTCGTGCGTCAACAACAACAACAACAAGAGAACAATGACGACAACATCAACATTGTGATGCTGTTCACCACCAGCATTAAACACCAACAAGATCATCGCCATCACCAACACCATTACCCCATTACCATCACAATCACGCAGGGTCGTCGTAATTAGCACCATCATCAAGCATCGTCATCTTCCAGATTGAGGTTGCTAGTTCCAAGAATGGCGGCGGACACTTTTTTAGCTGCTTATGCTAATGCAAACTGTCACAGCTTGGTATGAGGATAGCTTGTGCTCATGTTTGCGGAACCATAAGTTGTCGTCGTATGGGTAACCAGGTGGCCCAGATGTGCTGGACTGATTAACGACAATAGAAAAGATGGCAATTGTGGTTGCAAACACGGTGGCGACCGTGGTAAGCACATGTTCTGGTCACGGTGAGTATCATGACAACGCCATGTCCGATTCCAGTTTCCCTGTGATCCTGCTGTCTACTGTTGCGCTTGTGACGTTCATGATGCATGCGCTACAGAACCAAATGTTCAACAACAGGAGCAGCAGCTCCGCATTACAGAGTGGTAAAGCAGCGTTTACTCCTGCCGTCAGCTTCATGTACATTCACACAAGTTCGATCACTGCTTGCTGGGTCAGCTACGAATCATGAGACTTGCCAAGCTGAGATTTCAGGGAAGCTCCCATCTGATCGTTGGAGCTGCTGCTCTGGTGACTGCTGCTGCCTTGCGTGTCCAGAGAGCTTACTGTCTAATGCGGAGGCCTCGGTATTTAAGATAAGGTTTAAGGCATGTTCGACTACAAGTAGGAACTCTAAGGAATAGTACCTATTGATAGATATTCAGGCCCCTGCAGTAAGGTCTTCTGAAATCAACATGCCGCGGAGCCCAAATCTTCCTGTAGTTCACGGCTGAGCTTTTCGGCCTGCGAAGCAGCAACACAGATCGCTGACATGCATACGGTTCACGGTTTAGGGGTTCAGGGTGCAGGATTTAAGGCTTACGGTTTAAGGGTTTAGGGTCTAGGGGTTTGGGGTTTTCGGTTTAGGGCAAACACACATAGCGCTCTTCAACATTCGAAGGTTCGAAGGCCGAGAGGAGGGTGAGGGAGGGAGTGTGAGGGAGAGGCAGGGAGAGGGAGGGAGAGGGAGCGAGAGGGAGGGAGAGGGGAGGGGAGGGGGAGAGGAGGGGAGGGGAGGGAGGGGAGGGGGCAACAGAGCACAAAAGAGCTGCGAGAAAAGACCAGAATTGCTCTGCCATGGTTTCAAGCATTAACTTCACTAGCACTACTAGGCGGTGACTGCCTTGACCATAGATGTCTATGGCTAATCTTTGTGCAGACATTGCAACTAGGGTCATTCATACTCTCCGTATGCTGGCCCAGCTGGCCACCGGCCATCAGTGTTCACGGCAAGATCGTCGACCTTGCTTTCATTATTGTCACTGACGGTGATGATGGTGATCATTGTGATCGAAACCCGAAGCCTAAATCCAGAGCTCTATCATGCTTGAATGAACACACAGAACCTCACACAAAACACACAAATACTGGATTATACCAACAACGACGACATCAACTGCAACAGGGAAAACCAGCAACAGAAATCATGAACGGGTCATTCAAAGCAGAGCCCCCGTAGCAAAGGCAAAACCAGAATCATCGTAATTCTGTCGGTTCAATGAACGATATCAGCATGAAGAGTAACTCTCCAGCGATGACAGTAGTACTCCTCAAAATAACACAAATCAAAACAAGAGCAGTCACATCATACATACAGTAAGCTTTCCGGAAACCCTAAAATCCACATTAAGCCTTAAACCCTAGACCGTAAGTTAAGCCTTGAACCCTGAACCCTCGAACAAGCCTCCCCTATCTCAAAAATCCCCATAGCACTGGGGAACCTGCCTGACCAGCAGCAAGAACTGCGCGGAAGCTCTAGGGTTTTGGAGTCAGGGTCGTGGCTTCTGGTTGTTTTGCTTTTAGGGTTTAGAGATTGGGTTCAGGGCTTTAGGGTTTAGAGTATTTTTCAGGGTTTAGGGTTTAGGGGTTTGGAGTTTATGGCTTAGGGCTTGGGGTTTGTTTTTTGGGTTCAGGGTCCAGAGCCAGAGTTTGAGTTCGGTTCGGGAGTCTGGATGTCTACCCAGAGAGCCCAATACCCTTTAATTACGGAAGAAGCCTTAAATCATAAGATTAAGGCCCCTATAATTGAAGGTATATTCCTTAATTCAGGGGTACCCAGAGAGCCCAATACCCCTTGATTGAGGAAAATACCTTAAATCCTGATGTCAAGGCCCCTATCATTTAAAGTATATTCCTTAATTCAGGGGTAT